CTCTCTCTCTCTCTCAATTCAATTCAATTCAATTCAAATGAGCTTTATTGGCATGACTGTGGAACAGCACAATGTTGCCAAAGCAATTAACAGCAAACAAATTATACAGGCATATAGATAGTAAAAAAAAACAATAGCAAATACAAGGTACTTATTTACAGAGAGCATTGATAAAGAAAAGGGGGTTTAGCCTTTGTCCCTCATAATATGGCAGGAGGATACATACTGCGCTGCCAGGTGGATACACTTTTCATTCTCTCCCAAAATATAACAGAGTTTGTCTATGTGGCTCGCCTGCTGGAATTCAGGCACAATTTGAGCTATTTGTGTAAAATAAGTGTCTCTGATGTGTTTATATTTGCTGCAGTGTGTGAGGAAGTGCAGCTCGTCCTCTACGAGTCCCTCTGTGCAGTGAGAACACAGTCGGAGCTCTCTCTCTCTCCAGCTCTGTTTGTGTCGGCCCGTCTCCACACTCAGATTGTGCTCACTCAGACGATACTTCGTCAGAAGCTTTCTCTGACTATAGTCTTTCATTTTGATCAAGTAAGGTGCCAATTGATAACCAGTCTTTAATCTGTAGAAGTACTTTAATTTGTTCATTTGTGCTACTTTGATCTGCCAATAATGGATATTCTTCCTGGTTTATTTTTCCAATCTCTTTAACTTGTCTTAACGTGTCTTAACTGAATTGTTGAACTGAGTTGGTGTTTTTCCACTAAATAGTGCATGGGGTCACTCTCTGGGTGTCCTGCCCTGTAAGTAAGAGCGCAGTGATGGTCATCATCTGTCAGTGTGTCTGATAGATGGAACCAGAACTTTGCTGTTCTCTTCTGGATTTCTGCTAGAAGGGGGAATCTGCCCAATTCTGCCCTGCAGCCGAGACTAGGGGCGTTTCTGTGGAGTCCCAGGATGTTCTTGCAGAACTCCAGGTGGAACATTTCAGTGGGGTTTTTATCCCAAGATGTATAGTTTAATTTAAATTTGGGGCCCCAGATTTCACAACCGTATAGAAGAATGGGTTTGATGATGCTGTCAAAGATTTTTAGCCATAATTTAATTATAATTTAATCATAATTTTTAGCCTCTCTCTCTCTCTCTCTCTCTCTCTCTCTCTCTCTCTGTGTGTGTATGAAACAAAGTGAACGGCGAGTCGTGCGCCTTCACACTAGAGTTGACGGTACGTCAAATACAGGAGCATTGCACGTCCATTCAGATGAACTGAAAAATAGCACAGATCTCTTGACGGAGAGTGAAACTCTGAAGCGCTCAGTCAGTGTGTTCGGCGAGTAAAAATATAACTGTGCTAAACTTATACATAGCCTCCAACTCACTGGCTGAGAATTTTAAAAAAAATCTGAGAATTTATTAGCCAGTGGCTAATATTAGACATCATTTAGTCGCCCAGAGTGAAGATTTAGTCGCATATGCGAGTGATTTACTCTCAATGTAGAGGGTTGATACATAATAAATATAAACAAAAACTTTTATTTTGGATGTGATTAATCGCGATTAATCGTTTGACAGCACTAATTCCTATTGAAAAGACTGGATTTCACGTAAATTCTCTCAACAAATGTAAATGTGACAATAGATCAATAGGGAAAATCCTAATTAGAAAATAATTTTGCATTGGATTTTTGTCATTACAAATTATGTTATTATTATAACAGTTTTAGTGAATAATTGTATTTAGAAATGACAAATTTTAATGAATTTCCTATTATAAGTGACTCAAAGTGTTAATTTGATTAGTGACTTGGTGCAGAATCGTAAATATTTTAACAAATTAATTAATTGCATGGTCACACTTTAGTTTGGGGACCAATTCTCACTTTTAACTACCTACTAACTATGATTTTTGCCTCAAACTCTTAATTTGCTGCTTATTAATAGTTAGTAAGGTAGTTCTTAAGTTTAAGTATGGGGTCGGATTAAGGGTTCTAAAATATGGTCATGCAGAATAAGGCATTAATATGTGCTTTGTAAGTACTAATAAACCAATATGCCTATATGCTAGTAACATGCATGCTAATAAGCAACTAGTTAATAGTGAGAATTGGACCTTAAAATAAAGTGTTACCAATTGCATTCCTATTTATTTCCAGGTTTAAATGGGGAAAAAAAATAAATAATGTGATTTCAGATTTTGGACCCCACTCTATGTATAGAGTAGTCAAAATCTTGTGATTGGTGATGTGTGCAGGGTCCTGTCAGAAGTGTACTTTGAGGAGCGCTTTGCAGAGCTGCCAGAATTCCGTCCAGAGGAGGTTCTGCCCTCTCCAACCCTGCAGAGTCTGGCCACTTCCCCACGAGCCATACTGGGCAGCTACCGCAGGAAGAGGAAAAACTCCACCGGTGAGAGTAAGATTCAGACCTCTCTAACAACTCAATGTGAAATCTAACTATAGCTGGGTCAGTTCATTTGTTCATGCCTTTCAAATCACAAATCAGCTAGCCCTCAATCCCCCTTTCCACAGACCTCGACTCATCCACAGAAGATCCCATCTCTCCAAAAAGGAAAAGCCGCCGCAGATCTAGCTGCAGTTCAGAGCCAAACACACCTAAAAGCGCTGCAAAGTGTGAGGGGGACATTTTCACCTTTGATAGGCCAGGTAATACTTCACCACCCACAAAACCGTCATCATTTTGCAGCCTATATTATCCTGATTCAACTACATTATAATTCTCTCTCTATCTGGTACAGATGGAGAGGATGTTCTGGGGGAGCTGGAGTTTGATAAGGTGCCCTACTCCTCTCTCAGGAGAACTCTTGATCAGAGGAGAGCTCTTGTCATGCAGCTATTCCAGGAGCATGGCTTCTTCCCCTCAGGTAACGCACACACTTTTATAGAGTACTGTTACTGTACCACCCACACAGCTTACAGACAGCACAGAAGTAAAATGAAGAACAAACCAATTACAGCACAAATCTTAACCAAAATGGATGCTATTGACATAACACTATTCATTAGACCAGGGGTGTCCAAACTCGGTCCTGGAGGGCCGGTGTCCTGAAGAGTTTAGCTCCAACCCCAATTAAACATACCTGAACCAGCTAATCAAGCTCTTACTAGGCATACTAGAAACTTAAAGGCAGGTGTGTTGAGGCAAGTTGGAGCTAAACTCTGCAGGACACCGGCCCTCCAGGACCGAGTTTGGGCAGCCCTGCATTAGACCCATGGATTTCAACCGGGGGTCCTTGGAGAGATACAAGACTAATGGAATCTTAAAATATAAAATATATATTATAGTAAAAAAATAAATATATATTATGAATGTTTCAGATGTATTTCTAAATCTAGCTATTATAAACTATAACTTTTTTAAAAAAATTATCAAAAGAAACAGCCTCTTATCTAGCAGCTCTGAGTCACTTCACACGAAGAGAAACTACCAAACACACCTAAAAGCGCTGCAAAGTGTGAGGGGGACATTTTCACCTTTGATAGGCCAGGTAATACTTCACCACCCACAAAACCGTCATCATTTTGCAGCCTATATTATCCTGATTCAACTACATTATAATTCTCTCTCTATCTGGTACAGATGGAGAGGATGTTCTGGGGGAGCTGGAGTTTGATAAGGTGCCCTACTCCTCTCTCAGGAGAACTCTTGATCAGAGGAGAGCTCTTGTCATGCAGCTATTCCAGGAGCATGGCTTCTTCCCCTCAGGTAACGCACACACTTTTATAGAGTACTGTTACTGTACCACCCACACAGCTTACAGACAGCACAGAAGTAAAATGAAGAACAAACCAATTACAGCACAAATCTTAACCAAAATGGATGCTATTGACATAACACTATTCATTAGACCAGGGGTGTCCAAACTCGGTCCTGGAGGGCCGGTGTCCTGAAGAGTTTAGCTCCAACCCCAATTAAACATACCTGAACCAGCTAATCAAGCTCTTACTAGGCATACTAGAAACTTAAAGGCAGGTGTGTTGAGGCAAGTTGGAGCTAAACTCTGCAGGACACCGGCCCTCCAGGACCGAGTTTGGGCAGCCCTGCATTAGACCCATGGATTTCAACCGGGGGTCCTTGGAGAGATACAAGACTAATGGAATCTTAAAATATAAAATATATATTATAGTAAAAAAATAAATATATATTATGAATGTTTCAGATGTATTTCTAAATCTAGCTATTATAAACTATAACTTTTTTAAAAAAATTATCAAAAGAAACAGCCTCTTATCTAGCAGCTCTGAGTCACTTCACACGAAGAGAAACTACCATCAAAAGGGCCTTTCGCACCGCTTTAGTTCCAGAACTAAATGTACAGTACTAAAGTACTGGGACGATTTTGCGCGAACTATTTCCCAGTACTATTTAAAGGGTTGCATTCGCACCAACAGTGTGTACTAAGAAGTGACGTAAGCCGGTCAACAGCGACGTCATTTGTGTGCGGCGTTCAACAATAGAAACAAAGAAGAACAACATTAACAACAGGAGGATCGAGGACGCTGTGATCGGAGCTGTGTTTTTGTTGTGTCTCGCGGGTTTCAAAATAATGGACATGGAATGTCGACGTATACGTAAAGCGATGTCTGGTACAGATGGAGAGGATGTTCTGGGGGAGCTGGAGTTTGAGAAGGTGCCCTACTCCTCTCTCAGGAGAACTCTTGATCAGAGGAGAGCTCTTGTCATGCAGCTATTCCAGGAGCATGGCTTCTTCCCCTCAGGTAACGCACACACTTTTATAGAGTACTGTTACTGTACCACCCACACAGCTTACAGACAGCACAGAAGTAAAATGAAGAACAAACCAATTACAGCACAAATCTTAACCAAAATGGATGCTATTGACATAACACTATTCAGTGCTGGTTAGACCCTGCTCCGGAGTAGGAGCTAATTTGGTTCTCGAAAAAGGCAGTCCGGTACTAAAATCGCACCCGTACTAAAAAATCGCACCGGTACTAAAATCGGCGGTGCGAAAACGCCAAAAAGTGGGTAGTTCCACAATTAGTTCTGGTACTATGAAAAGGTTCCCGTGGTGCGAAAGGCCCTAAATACACACTGACACTCAAAGATCTTCACGACAAACTGACGAAATAAGTTTAGTTTATCTTATATTGCTATATTTCTAATATATTACTATGTATTACTAATAAATTACTAAATAATAATAAATATATAAATAAATACAGATATTATATTATAATTATTTGTAAGGAATATCATACATCCAAGATATTTTTAGTCCATGTTTTAATTTATTAATTTAATTTAAATGTTTTGTTGTAAATAATTGTTATATTTTCATTTTATTACATTTTAAAAGATTCATTAAATTGTTGTTACATTTTATTAGACACCATTTTTGATTGATAAATTATAATAAATCATAAAACGAAGTTCAACAGAATTTATGGGAAAATAAAATGGTTTTCTTGGGAGTTAAAAAACAAGTTTCTATTCATTCTCATGGTCTAACACACATGTGGAAAGCATGTCCACATTTATAGTAAATTTATATTGTGATTGTATTTTTGGCCATATCATCCAGCCCTAATGCATAGTTCGCAATATTAAAGGAATTAAATAAATAAACATCAAATTTTTTCACTATCACGTCATTCCTAGCATGTCTATTGAACAAAAATTGAGAAATTCTGGTCACGCTTTTTCATGCAGTTACAAAAAAAAAATTTGACTGAAGCTTCAAAAAGGACCATCAATGCATCGTAAAACATTTACACTTCTGAAGCCTTGCAGTGGCTTTGTGTGAGAAAGAGAACAAAATTGAAGTCAGAACTTGTTAAGAGAATCTTGTTCTGATTTTTATGTTGCTGGTCCTTAAAGGGATAGTTCACCCAAAAATGAAAATTCTGTCATTAATTACTCACATGTGGTTCCAAACCTGTAAGACCTTCGTTCTTCTTCGGAACACAAATCAAGATATTTTTGATGCATTCTGAAAGCTCTCTGACCCTCCCATAGACAGCAAGGATCCTTACATGATCAAGGCTCAGAATCGTAGCAAGGAGATTGTTAAAATAATCCATGTGACATCAGTGGTTCAACCGTAATTTTACGAAGCTACGAGAATCATTTTTGTGCGCAAAGAAAACAAAAATAATGACTTTATTCAACAATTCGTCTCCTCCGCGTCACCCTAGCGCCATTTTGGAGAGTATCACATACATAAACAATGTATGCAACATATGCGCGCGGATACATTATTTACGTTCAGATCAAACTAAACGATGTAAACAGCGTATCCACGTACGGTGCTGCTGACACAGAACAGCATACGTTGTTTACGTATGTGATACTCTCCAAAATGGCGCTAGGGTGACGCGGAGGAGACGAATTGTTGAATAAAGTCATTATTTTTGTTTTCTTTGCACACAAAAAGTATTCTCGTAGCTTCGTAAAATTACGGGTGAACCACTGATGTCACATGGATTATTTTAACGATCACCTTGCTATGTTTCTGAGCCTTGATCATGTAAGGATCCTTGCTTTCTATGGGAGGGTCAGAGAGCTCTCAGAATGCATCAAAAACATCTTGATTTGTGTTCCGAAGAAGAACGAAGGTCTTACAGGTTTGAAACGACTTCAGGGTGAGTAATTAATGACAGAATTTTCATTTTTGGGTGAAGTATCCCTTTAAATTGGCTGAGAGGAACATCTGAGATTATAAAGGCCAAAAACCCCTGCATTAGATAAAAACACTTTCAGAATTTTCTTTCGTCTAATACTCTCTTTCTCTCCCCCTTTCGCCCCTCTCTCGATCAATAGCTCAAGCTACTGCAGCATTCCAGGCACGATACGCTGATATCTTCCCCACTAAGGTGTGTTTACAGCTCAAGATCCGTGAGGTCCGGCAAAAGATCATGCAAACGGCAGCTCCGTCGGAATGGGCAGGCATTTTTGATGTTTCCTCATTACCAGGACCTTCTGGGGCGGCGGCGGCCAGTGACCTAGCTATAGGGGCAGAGCCTCAGGAAAAAAAGGCCGAGCGGGAGGGTGAGCAGAACAGCTCGGAGGAGCCCAGAAATGCTGGCGATTCACAGGACACCAGCAGATGAGGTTGATGGGAAAATGGATGGCTTGAAGACCAGATGTCTCCCCTCAACATCTGCATGATCTACATTTGTTGTCTTGTCTCTGCTATGACTGCCTCCGAAGGACATAGAGAGAAAAAGCAAGAGCAAAATTTGTATGTATATGGAGCAGATGGGGGAGATGCCTCAAAACACTTTGGGGTTTTGAAACTTCTCAGTATTTTACGTGATGTTGAATTATGAAAACTTTACATTCAGACACTTGCCTACATAAACACAGACACTCTTGAATATACACTCTTGAATTTACAGCATTATCTTAGTCATTAGGCTTCATTTGGACTTTGAAACTAGAGGACTGTGGGCCTGTCCTGTACGCCAGTGAAGTCACAGTGCTGCTGATGCCTCTAGAAAGGCGGGACGTGCGAGGGCACCCCATCCCTTTTCAGACTGAGTTGTGTTCGTACGGCCTGATTGGCAGTAGCTTGGCCACAGGTGTTTTTTTATTGGTTTGTGGGTTACTGCCAGTCATTGTGAGGCGGGCCTCCACTGGCTGCGTTTAAGTGATAATGAAGACTTGTTGGACTTTTATTTTTGATTTTTTTTCTTCTGTGGTGTTTTAATATTTGAAGACTTTTCACAGAGAGCTTTGTTAAGGCACTGAAAACCTTCGGCGAGAGACTTTGCGCTGCCATTCGTAAACTTTTCGTCCTATGATTGACTTTTAACGGTTGTCAATCAAACTGGAGTCATTCCAAAGCATCTGATTGGCAAGCCATGAAGGAAAAAGGTCATGGAAGGGGAAGTCAACAGGCACATCATTGCCATTGATTTATGTTTTTCCATATATTAAGAAATTCCACATATTTAAGCATTTCTTTCCCTGCCTTTTTTATTCAACTTTTCATGAGCTGGTGAAGCACGGAGCAAAGAGAATGTAGGGAATATATTCTTAAGAATTTACTATAAGAATTTTATTAACTTTTTAGAGGAGAAACTGATTTTTCAACACGTAATGATACAGGTCATTATGTTATAAAATCTCATTATTACTGTTCTTATTAATGCTTTGTTGTTCTTGTGGATCTGATCCTTATAACCTATATATATATACTATATTCTTATTAATATACTCTTTCTTTAGCAGAAACGGAGGGACGAGTTCGCCCTCTTCCCTTGCTCCCAGAGGCACTTCCACTACCTTTTTTTAAACCTTTTCTCTTACACTTTTTATCTTGATATTCACAATGTTTTATTTCTTACCAGGAAGCAATTACGTAAGCCTTTATTGTTAGACACTCCAAACATCTTTCTGGTAGTTGTACATGTTTTTTATTATTTCGATTTGCCACTTACATTACTGTCACTTTATCGTTTTTTCTCAATCACTTTAAGGCTATGAGGTGGGACTGAGAGGCCACAGATGATCTTCTCTTGCAGCACTGGTCTTTGTTGTACATAAATACAGTAAGAGTCCAAAGACTCAAGCATCACAATAAAAAGCATCAACAAAAACATTGTTGGAAGAAACAAAGCCAGTAACAAGAAATTGTATAACAAAA